TAGTCCGTGAGGAAACCTGAAATTCATAAAACATGCTTAAATTATTTTCAAAATCAAATCAATGCGGGAAGCGGTCAGCTTGCGCAATACATTGGGCAGAATTCTTGATGTATTTTTCATATTTTGTTCAATACATTTATATATTTAAAACAAATAAAAATTGAGCACTTACACAATTTCATTGCTTTAAAAATTTCAATTTCAAGTCACGATTGCTAATAAAGAGAAAAGGATAAAATAAAATAAGACAGGATAGAAAGAGTTGAAGTCCTTGGTTAACCCTAGATTTAGGGTTATCTTTTTAACTTACATGCACTTCTAATCTCCCAGRARTGTGAGARTTCTGCACGAACCAACTGCCCGACAGATAGGTTCAGTGGGTAACCGTTATCATTACGGGGCTTGTTCTTCAGGACTAGAAAGTAGTTGCACCATGCACTTTGTGATTTACCACAACCCCGTTTGTTTTTAATTCTGAAAAATATAAAAAGCATTAGCACAATACATTTTTATCTTTATATTTAAAATCGAAAAAAAAATATGACAAATAATTGAATGGGGTATATAATTGGAGATCTGGCATTAGGTAAATGAGAAATTCACTTTCTAGACGTTTATGCTTTTAATAGATCCCATACCATGGCCGGGCCATCTCGAGTATTGTTTTAAGGGAGAATTGAGCCAATTTCAAGTTTTCCATCATGAAACGGCTGGAAGAGCTCAAAGTGAATTGTGAAATAAAAAAATACGCTTACGCTTTCAAATTATTGCCCGTAATCTCCCACAAAACGGGGTCATCCGATGAGATGCCCACAAAGGCTTCGTTACCATCTGGACTCCATGACAGCAACRCACCACAATACTCATTCCCCTCTTTACATCTACGCTTGTTCACAATGCTGTACGTGTTATACCCATGGGGTACAAGTTTCCAGTAACAGTTGATATTGCTATGAGTCCTTCTTGCAATGTAGGGATTGCCATCCACTTCGTAACTTTCAAACCTTTGTTGCCAAATCATATCTTTGGGAACGTTTCCTACTTCGGTCATAAGGCAATGCAGACCAGCCATGGAACGATCGTATTTACCCATATTCAAYATCTCTGTYGAGTAAGTGTCTGTTATAACGCTTACATCTGGATCAAAATAGGGAATGATCTTGCTATCGTAGTCGACTGTGTAGAGCTTGCCGAGTACAGCTCCTGCCAATCTTCTAAATAACTCTCKTTCAATAATCATCCCACTGAGGTGAATAAAAGTGWCAGTGGACGGAATCAAAGAAATATATTGCGTAWGTATGATGTCACGGAATACYGCTAGCAGCGCATACATCTCACAATATYTAATGKCTTTTCTTCCATTATTGTTAYTGTTGAACATCTCAAGTATTTCACTTGCAAGTTTTCCCATAAAWGCCACACCTTGTGATCTTTCCACTACCTTTGAAACAACAGGCAAGTTCTCTTTTCTGACGGGTCTTCCCGACMTTGCAGCTAGATTTAAGTAYCCTTTAGTTTGTTGAAATGCTGATAATAATSCTRTGGTTTTTCTACTAAGCTCCTCGTCGCGATATTGCGATAGAGCATTATGTATATGTTCTCTGACAACCTCACCCAAAGTCTTCGGTTCTGKTCCTTTACCAAACAAGCTAAGAAGAGCAGATACAAAMCTCTGAGCCATACTTGCAAGCAGCTGGTCTTGTGGTCCAAAATTACTGGATATGGAAGCAAGGATKTTAATTGCTCCTTTTATAGCACTAACAGGGTCTTCGCCAGCATTGCCATAMGCCTCGATGTTTGAAGATATGACACTTAAAGTATCTAAGACACGTTTCTTGCTAWCATCGGTGAGGCATTCCCATTTTATATTAAAACTTGATAAGGAGTCTTTAGCAAGAGATGAAAATGGACCACTGAACGTGGAAAGTTTGGTTCGGACTGCAGTAATGATTTTGTCTTTAGCAGCTGCATCTACGAAAAGTCAAAATTAAAAAATAGTCAAAATATGTTCGATGATCTTACAGATGTACAACGATCYTTTTAGACTCTAGTTAAATTATTCTGGTTCTCATCTAAGCAAAAAGCCTTTACTTGGGGGAATGCAAGTGCACCCCTTATCTCCACTGGCTAAAGATACGCCCTGAATCCTGGCRATCAAGAAATATTCCATCAATTCCTTCATGGCTTGCCATTCTKTATTTTCTGTTGCAACTCCTTCAAATTATAATAACTGTATATTCAATATTATAATTTTATATTATTGAGAYATGCAAACATTACCTGAGTCCTGGAGTTTACTTATTGATTGGTCGTTGCATGGTTTACCATCCATTTCTGGAGTGTCCTGGAATGTCATCTTTTCAGCCAACTCCTTGGACTACACAATTTKAAAATATCTGTWAAATTTGGCGGAGTTACTCCACGTAGAGCGCTCGATGCTAGGCAGAGCTGAACTATTTAGAGAGTTTATGAATAAAACTCGTCAAACCTCTACGGGCCTGTTTCATGAGGCAAAGCCTCAATCTTCAGGAGTTTATTGAGCTAAGTTCAAGCTTACACGGTATTTATACTACACGCGCCACATTGTAATGCCTTATGTTTGTGCCTGCACGCGGAAACTAGCTCATTTCTTTTGTTCAGTGAACATAAGTGTTTTGAATTTGAAAATACATTATTTTCACTGTGATATCGATGTCATTAATATCATAGCGTATTCCTGTGTCTYGTAATGTACCACAACTCTTACCATTTCTTTGAACTTTCTACGCCATTCTTCAGTATTTTCTTCTTGTGCTGCGAGTTCAAGGAGCTTTTGGTTCATCTTGCTTGCCGAATGATCTATCAGGAGAAGGTGTGAAATAGCTTGCAATGTAGACTAGTGATTACAAGAAGAAACTATTGTAACTGTTTTTTCTTTTAATTTGCAGATGGAAAAATTATTTTTTTCCTTGTCAAAGTATTCTTATGTATASTCATGTGATCGCAAACCACGAGTTCATGATCTTATTGGATAGAAATAGCTAAGCATAATCAAACATTCGGTTGAGTCTCCAGAGTGTTGTATCAAAGAATAACATGACACACAGCAAGTGAGCAAATCAAACATTGAACATGGAATGGATTCGAAACGAGACAAAGAGTGTGTTTGTTTATTATCATTACTATTTAATACCTGACTGGTCATTTCCCTCAGACTTTTTTAACTCCTACAATGTAAGAAAAAAAWAACAGTAGAGATAAACATAAGGACACCATAGGTACTTTTCAGATAGCCCAGAATTGTCAGAAGACGTCCAAGTCCCATCTTGAAGGAAATMCCMTGATTTTCAAAATCTTGTTTGAGCAAGTTTAATTCATTGAACTTCAAGAAAACTTCGTATCTGGGAGTTATGTTTTGGTATAGGATGGTTCCCCAAAGACATAAGTAACGTCATCATATCATTCAAATCTGTAGCTAAGTATACTTGTGAAATTTCAGGGAGTATCCATTAAATCACCATTGTTCACAATGAATTATTAATCTACAACAAACAAATTTCACAGATTCATTTTGCTTCCTCTATTATAAAAATATCTTACGCTATACAGCCTTTTGCAAAAATTATGAGAATTGTCTAAATATCTAAATATCATAATATCCATATCCATATATTGTCCGGAACACGCGGGTTTGCTAGAATAATTCATTGTTGACATCGAGAAAATGTTCAGAACTACGGATAAGTCTGTCGCCAAAAAAAACTAAACTACAAAGACAATGGGACTAAGGGCATCGCGCGAGATTACCCATCATACACTCGATATTATGATATTTAGATATTTCAACAATTCTCATAATTATTGCAAAAGGCTGTATGACACATAATATTTGAATATTGTCATATTTGAGCGATTTTCACCAAGCACAAATGTTTACACATTTTTATCTCTTACCAGAAGCATTTCATTATTTGCCATCACGAAGCAATCAAGTGCCAGTAAGACCAACAATGAAAGAAGCCTGCCACCTTTCATTTCTGTATTAYYAAAAATGATTACTTTAAAGACATGTAGATAAATTTGAAGATGAACGCGGTTTCCAAGATAGCAGAAATTTGCACTGAATCTGTAAATTGCAATAGTCTCCTTCACGRATACCTGCGCCATATTGAAAGGTAGCCGTGCCTTTACATCGAAGCGGACAACCGTTGAGCGTGCAATGATAGATACCTGTGAATAATTGTCTSTAGGTGTGAAAGAAGGTTTCTATCATTGCACGCTCAACGGTCGTCTCGCCTCGATGCAAAGGCAYGGSTACCTTTCAAGATGGCGCAKGGAACCGTGAAAAAGACTATTCAAGAGAAACATCTTTTTACATCTCCAAGCGTGAAAAATTACTAACCAAGTCAATAATGCACTTCATTGTAAGTAGACTATGGAAAACTTTATATTAATTTATATTAATTCAATACTATGCAATAACTAAAGTTTTCCGTGTTATAAGAGTTTGAACTCTATCAAAGGAATTGCCATAATTCAAGACGATTTAATACTATTGAATCACTAAAGGCTGATTTACACGGCACGATTGTCTCGTGCGACTTGTAGTATACGACTTGAATCGCGCAGTGTAAATGCCCCTACGACTTGTCTACAACAGTCGTACGCAACCTACGACTTGTAGTAGGGTTTTGAACCACTGCTTAAAATCCTACGACTTGTAGTAGGAAAATCGTAAATCAGCCTTAAATGTTTTCATGGTATAGTCGTTTACAATTTACCTTGTATCCTTTAAAACCACTTGTAGTACAACCAGTAATTGCAATGTCAATCTCTGAATGACACTGATTTTTAAAAGTTGATCACAGTAGATGGACYTTACATTCTATCAAAAATTCTTTAATGCACGTCATACCTGCCAGACTTTTGGTCTGGTGATTTTGAACAAAAGGCTTGACATTTGTTTGGTGGCATCATTCATGTCAACGGTGAGAAAATTTATTGATTTGAAATTTCTTACATTTTTTTCATATAACCGTGACTTAACGAGCCGTTAGGAAATAATTTCCATGATTTCTTGACTACCTTTGATAATATTTTTTGATTTAGTGTAAAGTAATTTTAATTTAATTTTAATTTTAATTTTTATCATTTTATCACTATAAAGTGTAATAGTCCAATAGGCACAAAAGAGAGCAGTGAATTATAACGTAAGAAGGTTGGTTAATGGAATACAGTCAACGTTGTTCAATTATAAAAAACAACAACAAAGTCATTTGCATATAATGTACTTTGAATTATCTTTTTCACTTACGAAATTTCGTAGCTTGCATGGATACTAGTTTGTCGGAAAAATGAGGAGAAATTATGGAGAAAGAAGCTAAGTAGGAAACGTCGACTTCTTCGCAATTCTTCACAGTCATCCGCCATGTTTGATTTGACAATGGTCCAAGGAATGTTAACTAAATTGTTTGACAAACGAARCCAAAAATTAAAATAGAAGCTTTGAGCTTTGAACAATAGGCATTTCTACAGTATTGAGTTGTAAGACTTCATTCCCGCCATATTGATCAAGCGACCAGCATTTYATAACACCAGGGATGCTCGATAGCCAGTACATATGCTTATGTGTTGTTGGTATACACCTACTTGCGAAAACGTTGTCATAGAAAATAGGACATTTGTATCTTAGTAAAAAGGAATAAATTAAAAAGACAAAAGAAGATCACTGAGGCTGAACACTTTCTTTTGTCTTGTTTTAATTTATTCCTTTTTTTACTAAATTCAAATGTTCTACTTTCTATGACAACGTTTCTGCAAGTAGGTCAATGAAGCATTCTAGAAGAACTAATCGTACACGACATATCATAATACTAAGATCGGCAATTTTGTTTATAGTTAATATCAAATAATTATTTGGGTTTCTTCTATAGTTTGTGAAACGTATATATAGTTAAGTAGTGAGCATTTGTACTTAGCTGCATCAAGTTTGAATGAGCTCAGCAGATCGAAAATACCAATAGATAAGTATAAGGAATAAAAAAGGAAGATAAGGGGTATGTTTGCGCTGCCCAGACGGTCCCTTTTTATCCAAAAAGAGAAGCCATTTTGAACGAGGTTGACTGGAGGTGCCTGATGTAAAATAACTTGACTATTTTAATCAAAAATACCTTCCTACGATTACACAAGAAATTGCACTGAGCTATGTCATGGTTTCATAATTTTATTGATATTTCATAATATTTATTAACTAACTACTGTTTCACTACAATGTTAGGGGATATTCCATATAATTAAATCAGTTCACTTTGAGTGTAAATCAAATCCATTTTGACCACAATAGTCCGTGAGGAAACCTGAAATTCATAAAAAAATACTTAAATTATTTTCAGAATCAAATTGATGCGCGAAGCTGTCAGCTTGCGCACTTAATTGCACTCAACTCTTGATGATTTTTTTATTTTGTTTACTACACAGCTTCTCAATACATTCATATATTTAAAAATAGATAAAAAAACTCAGCACCTACACAATTTCATTGCTTTAAAACATTTCCTTCAAGTCACGATGGCTAATAAAGAGAAAAAGATGAAATTTAGTTTTCATACATTATTGCTTATTTATTTACTTGTTCGTCTGGAGATTCCTGTCTTCTATTACCGTATATAGAGACAAACAACATGCCCGATCGATTATGGGTATCTTGTACTGTAACATCTGCAAGTTTTCAACAGTTCAAAGCTTTAAAGCCAAAAGTAAAAGTGAATACTACTGAATTTATTGATTGTCGTCCGAATGCCTCAAACTTAGTTCAATTTCAACATCTATTTGTGTGTGTTTTTTTTTTTTTTTTTTTTTTTTTTTTTTTTTTTTTTTTTTGAGAAGAAACTTCAGCACTTCTCAATACACCTTTTCAGTTGCCTCGACAGCGTGTTAAATATTCTTTAGAATTTGTAGGAATGTGAGCAATGCAAACATTGATATGAATAGTCTCATTTGTCAAATTCAAAAGAATAATCAACTTGCTATCGAGACCTAAGTGCAACTGAAAAGGTGTATTGTGAGTTTGTGGTCAGTTTTGCTGTGCGACATTTTTACATCCGTAAATGATCACGTTTTCCAGTTCAGATATATGGCCGACAATCAATATGGTCGATACACGAATCCTGGAGAGCCGAATTCTCTTCTAGATAGTCTGGTAAATAAGCCAGTGAACAAACACAAAATTAYTGAGTTTAAGTCCTCGTTTAGCCCTAGGGTTAGATCTAGGGGGTTATMTTTAACTTACGTGCCCTTCTTATCTCCCAGGAGTGTGAGAGTTCTGCACGAACCAACTGACCAACTGATAGGTTCAGTGGGTGATTGTTATCATTACGTGGTTTGTTCCTCAGGACCAGATAGTAGTTGCACCATGCGCTTTGTGATTTACCACAACCCCGTTTGTTTTTAATTCTGAAAAATATAAAAAGCATTAGCACAATACATTTTTTATCTTAAAGTATGTGGTCAACAGTATAAAAATCGAAAAAAATATGAAAAACAATTGAATATAGGGTATATAATTAGAGACCTGACATCTTTTAAATGAGAAATGCACATTCTATAGACCTTTTGCTTTGCATAGACCCCATACCATGGCCGGGCCATCTCGAATATTGTTTTAAAGGGAGAATTGGACCAATTTCAAGTTTTCCGTCATGAAATGGTTGTAAAGCTCAAAGTGAATTGTGAAACAAAAAACAAACTTACGCTTTCAAATTWTTGCCMGTAATCTCCCACAAAACGGGGTCATCAGATGAGATGCCCACAAAAGCTTCGTTACCATTTGGACTCCATGACAGCAACGCACCACAATACTCATCCCCCTCTTTACATCTACGCTTGTTCACAATGCTGTACGTGTTATTGCCATGGGGTACAAGTTTCCAGTAACAGTTGATATTGCTATGAKTYCTTCTTGCAATGTAGGGATTGCCATCCACTTYGTAAYTWTCAAACCWTTGTTGCCAAATCATATCTTTGGGAACGTTTCCTACTTCGGTCATAAGGCAATGCAGACCAGCCATGGAACGATCGTATTTACCCATATTCAACATCTCTGTCGAGTAAGTGTCCGTTATAACGCTTACRTCTGGATCAAAATAGGGAATGATCTTGCTATCGTAGTCGACCGCGTAGAGCTTGCCGAGTACCGCTCCTGCCAATCTTCTAAATAACTCTCGATCGGCTAGTACCCCATTGATGTGATTTTGCCATGAAGACTYTTTATCATTGGTYGGCATTTCGCAAAGATACTGTGTTAGTATGATGTCACGGTATAAAACCAGCTTTGCGTACATCTCACAATATCGAATAGTTTTTCTTGCATCGGCAGCYTTGTTATTTTTGAACATCTCACTTATTTTACTGGCAAGTTCTCCAAAAAACTTTACACCTTGCACTCTTTTCAATTCGTTTGCGCCCAAAGCCACTTCCTTCTTACTTAAGGGTTTTCCCGACTGTGCAGCTCGGTTAAAGCACGCTTTAGTGAGTTTGAATGCTGATAGCACATCGTRTCCTTTCCTGATGAACGCATCTTCCTTGGGTTTTTCCGCGAGAAGCCTATCTATCTCTTCTACKAGAATTGCATCCAAAGACTTCGGCTTTCGTCCTTTACCAAACAARCCAAGAAGAGCAGGAACAAAACCAGGAGTCTTACTTGCAAGCTKGCTCTTTGGTCCAAAAKWACTGGATATKGAGGCAAGGATGTTARTCGCTGCTTTCATRGCACKTAYAGGGTCTTCACCAGCATTGCCATACGCCTCGATGTTTGAAGATATCACACTTAGAGTTCTTAGGGCACGAAGCTTGTCATCTGTGGAGAGGCTTTCACAGCTTCTATTTAAACGTTTTAAGGAATCTTTACAACGAGATGACAATGGACCACTGAATGCGGAAAGTTTTSTTTGGACTTCACCAAAGAATATGTCATCACGAACTGTTTGTACGAAAAATCAAAAGTTAAAAAATAAATAAAACATATCCCTTCAATTCCATTATGGTGTGTCATTTTCTATTGTCTTKCACAATYCATTGCAAAAAAATTATACATTGAATAGAATTATAGATTTTTAAGAATCAAACATTACCTGCGGCCTGGAGTTGAGTTATTGATTGTCTATTGTATCGTTTATCATTCCTGACAGGAATGTCTTGGTTTGAAATATTTTTAGCCAACTCCTGGGACTAGAAAAAATCCAAGATGTATCATTGTCACTTTGAAATCGATGTTACGAATATTATAATTGCATTCCTGCTTCTTGCAATGCATCACAAACTCTTACCATTTTTTTGAACTTTCTACGCCATTCTTCAGTATCTTCTTCTTGCTTTGCRAGTTCAAGGAGCTTTTGGTCGATCTCGGTCGCCGAATCACCTGTCAAGAGACGATGAAAYAGTTAGTAGACAAGTTGTTAGTATGTAGCAGTCTATATGCGATTGTTTCACTATATTTTTTCTAAAGGAACAGTACTATATAACAAACTTATTAAATCAAATGATTTTTTTCTCGACTTTTTTTAAGCATGTTATTTCATTAAGCCTTTAAGGCACTGAGAGTGGTTAAAACCGGACTGCGGAAAAAAWTAATTTCAAAATGTCATTAAAAAAAGTCGTGATATTAGTTGTATTAGAAGACAAGTAAGCGCCATATTGTATATATTGCGTTGCAAGTTTAAGGAGCCTTCGGTTCATCTCGCTTGCCGAATAATCTGTTTAGAGTTTTTGAAATGGCTATTAATATACTAGTGGTTAACAGCATTTCTTGTTTGAAACTGTTTTAATTTTCCAGAATGATACTCATTTACAAGTATTTAATTTTCCACTGACATTTGCTCTGTATTCTTTTTTTTTAGTTCTTAATAGATAATTATTTATATTACTTATAATTATATATAATTATTTATATTACTTATAATTGTGTGTTCGCACGCCACGTATTGATTCCATCCTTTAATTGATGGCATTAGCTAATCACTGCCGTGATCATGATCATGTGTGACACTATAATCGTCACGCAACCGACCTATATATATTTTTTGTTATCAATAAACAGCGTCTTAGTCTGCTGACCATCGTGTGAAAATATTACAATCACAGTCAAACATTCGGCGGACGTTTCAAAGGTTTGTATCAAAGATTAACATGGCGGAACCCAAAACAAACATCGAGCCTCTGATTGGTCGAGTACCTGATTGGTCATTTTGCTCAGACTCCTATAATATAAGAAAAACATTAACAGTAAAAATGAATATAAGGRAATAATATGTACTTTTGACACAGCCCAAAGCACTTTCCAATGAGCTTCAGTTGATTTCAAAAGTATTGCCTGGTAGTTAAGTTGTGAAATAGGATGGCTCCCAAAACACATAAAATGTCGTCATTGTATTATTCAAATGCATTATAAGATATACTTATAAAATTTCATTAATTTATTTTAATAGAGTTAAATCTGTGAAATTGTAAAAAAAAAAAAAAAAATCAAAATAGCACACAAGCGGAGTATCCATTAAATAACATTTTTTTTTTCTGGATAAATAGCAAATTTCACATATTTATTTAATAAGTTTTGTAAGTAATATTTACCACATGAGCGTTGTATGGGATTTTACAATCTCGAGCTATTTAACATTATGGGTGAATATTTGAGCGATTTTCACCAACGCAAGTGTGTKATTTTGACATTTTCATAAGTTTAAGTTTAGTTTAAGTTTAATTCAATAAATAATAATAATTTACACATGAGTAGTTAGCGGGCATCGCAATTAGTTAAGACTATTTATATCTTACCGGGAGAGTTTCATCGTTCGCCACCACGAGGCAAGCAATTGCCAATAAGACAAACAATGAAAAAAGCCTAGTATCTTTCATCTTTCTGAAATTAATGCTAAATGCTTTAAAAACATGGTGATCAATTAATACAGGTAAGCATTCAAGGAAGTGATTACACTTAATCCTTTAAATTATAAAGAGAAAAATACCCCAAATTTGCACTAAATCTGCAGCTGAAGCAGAAAATCCTTTGACACCCTAAAGCGTGAAAAAGTACTAAATAATTGTCACCATAGGTCGAAATGTTTGTAATTCATAATGCACTCTACCTTGTATCCTTTAAAACCTKTAGTAGAACCAGTAAGAGCAATGTCACTCTCTGAATAACACTGATCTAAATGCACTAGTTGATGGTCTTTTGATACTGGCCTGAAATATTCCATGGCGCACGTCATACCTGTCAGACGTTTGGTCTGGTGATTTTGAACAAAAGGCTTGACATTTGGTGGTGGCATTATCCATCTAAAGTTCTAACATTTTTTTATATCACGATGATACTAGTAAATATTCTATAGTGCACGTCATACCTGCCAGACTCTAGTCATTTTGCACCAAAACCTTGACATTTGTGTGGTGGCATCATTCATGTCAGCGGTGAAAATATTTATCGATTTGAATTTCTTRCATTTTTTCAGATCACGATGAGTTAACYAGGCGTTCGGAAAGAATTTTAATGATTTTTTGACTCAGTCGTGCGTTGATAAATAGTYWTTGCTTTTAAAATTTTAAATAATGAAACGACAGATYTGAGTTTATAACAAGACATGTTTCAGCATCCTTATGCCATTTAGTTGTATTTAAAGAGCTTCTATTTATACAGTTAAGYCTAGAAATGATATATGTAATAACAAAGATATCATATTTACMAAGGTTGTATCTAATGTTTATTATGTTTTATTGTTTTTAACGTCATCTGTGCTCTTACTATCATTTCTTGCTTTWATTGTAGAGTTATTAAACCAGTGATATAATCCCATTAGTTGAAGATCTTTTCATTCTAACAAATCATTATATTATAGTGCATGTCATACCTGCCAGACCCGTATACGACATTCACAATGGCCGACACTAATCAGCATTTTGTCAACAATGTTGACGAAAGAAAACACTCAGATGATAGATATCAAAGAAAAAATATTATGAAAAATATTATGGAAGTTATAAGGGTTGGAAGATGCACAAATGCACCAAAACGAGGGCACCAAGGCCTCAGTAAAGAATTTCTAACAAATCCTTGTATTTTCATTCCTCCATAACTTCGTTAGTATTTATAGTACATATCTTCAAAATTTTGCACAATTACTTATTTCTAATAGTTGTTCAATATGACTGTGCTGGATGTTTCCTTATTGTTGCCAATCATATTAAATCAATAGTAGGCACCTGTGAAAGTGATCTATGGTCTTGTGATTTTGCACCAAATACTTGACATTTGTATGGTGGCAGCATTCATTTAAATATTGAAAAAAATATCGATTTGAATTTCTTACATTTTTTTCATATATCGATGAGGTAACCAGACGTAAGGAAAGATTTTACATGTTTTCTTGACAGTCGTTAATAATATTTCTTGCTTTTATGGTGAAGTAATTGAACCCGCGAAACAAAATTTGACCATTTAAGTGTGTTAGAATTAGAGCCTACAAAAGAGGGCGTTCATGGGTGCGCGGAGATACGGATTTCGAGTGTTCCATTGTTTTCACTTACTTACTCGATCGTGAGATAAATGCATATCTCCGCGCGCCGATGTAATGCTGTGTTTATCACATAAAGTCAAATCTATGTCTATAAGAAATAACTGAAAGAACATTGTCATGCGTATCCATGCTAACGTATAAGAAGGACATCACCTTTTCTTGAAAGAAATTTCTGGAATTTCATTGAAGTTGCAATAAAAATATTTTCCCAACGGTTAAAGTCCTTGTAAAATCTGTGGAGTGGATAATTATTTTTCAGGAGTATAACTTTGACAGTTATGTTAATGTCTTTAGGAGTAGTGATTTAGTGAGTTCCACTTTTCAAGTTGGCGGACGCATTTTAATTTWAATTTTAAAATGTTCTTGAATACTCTTGATGCATGTACGATGAAGAATTTTCAGACAAAACAAGTGAACAAGTGAACGATTGTTATCCATTGTATAAACTCTGACATCATTTTC